AGCACGGTGGCAGGGGAGCAGTGGAGCGTTGTGGGGCTCTCAGCCCCGCTGTCCAACCTCAGTGAGCTGAAGCCACGTGTCACGGAAACCTTCCAGCTCCACTTGCTGTAGACCCTGCCTGCCCACAGGGACTCTCCCCACGGCTGCAGCACCTGGACCCTCCCCCAGCTGGGGAAGCATTGAACGTGGGCATCCCTGACCTCCACACTGGGCTTGGGGTGGCCCCACACTCAATAAAGGGTCTAGAAGAAGAGAGAACCTGTCTGGCCTGTGGTRTCTTGTCTGTGCAGTCCTTTGTCCTCAACCCCAAACCCCCTCCCTCCTGCCCCTGCTGCTCCCCAGCCCTGCTGCTGTTTGCTGAAGGGTGCAAAGGTCTCTGTGGCTGCCGAGGYCCTGTCTGGCCACAGTCCTGTGCTGGGACACGGCCCAGAGAGCATTGCTGCCAGGGGGATGAGCCCTCCCGTGAGCCCCTGCGCCCTCCTGCCCACGGGTTTGGCCATGAGGATGTTTCAATTTAATGTCATCGTGGGGAAAATGCCATCTTACCACCCCCAAACTGGAGACTGGGAGGTGGGGGCTTACTTGGCTCCCACAAAATGTCAGGGCACGCTCCCATCCTGGGGAAATGGGGGATACTGAGCCACGTGTCTAACAGGGCAGGTGGCCATGGAACAAATCCCATTACTGGCTGCGATCCAGACCAACAATTGCTAAGAGGGAGGGACCTGGGGCAGGAGAAGACCACTCAAGACCAGGAGCCAGAGCTGGGCTGCTGCCCCCTCCCATCCACACCTTTATTCCCTGGCACTGCCCAGGTGTTTGCAAAAGATGCCRCCATCTCCAACAGCTCTGGGGCCCGAGTCGCCACTGGCCGCTTCCCAGCCATCCAAAGTGAAGTTTCCCACAGAGGCCAGCCCCGGATGTGGGGATGAACAGGGATGACAGCAGGAAAGAGAGCATCCCCTCCCCGGGGCTCACCACTCTGGTGATCCCACTCTAGATGGGCTTCCTGGCGTATTCGCGGCGGTACTTGGAATCCACCCGTGTCAGGTACCAGGTCCCGGGGAAGAGATCCGCCTGGGAGCCGTGGGGAGCATGGTCGGCTGCAGGGAGAAGGCAGGGATGCTCAGGGCTGTTGTAGGGTCCCAGCAGGGCAGGGTCACATCCCCCCGACCCCACTCACCCAAGTGATGGGTTTCCTCCCGTCGCTTCATGATCTCGGCGAAGTCCTGCGGGGCCACGCGCTTGCGGGAGTCCAGGCGAGCGGGCAGGTCAGCCAGGCTGGACACCAGCTTGTCCAGGGGCGAGCCTGGCAACAGGCACCCCGCGTGTGAGATGGCACAGCGGGCAGCCCTGGCCCCACAGCCCCACGCCGCCCTCCCTCCCSCGGGGCTCACCTGGGGCCGCGTCCTGCGAGACGCGGAAGGAGAACAGGCTGGCRGCCAGTCCCGAGCCGTAGGAGAAGGCACCGATCCGGGAGCCGGCCAGGTCCCGTGCCGAGCACCTGCAGGGGGGTTGGAGGACATTTGGGGTGAGGGGGACATGGGGGTACTGGGGGCAGCRTTGGGGGATGCATCCTTTGCAGGCAGGAGGATCCCTGGGCCACAGGGCCATATTTCTGAGGGYGTGTGGCCCTGGAATGCAGCGGTGCCAGAAGCCCCAGGACAGGGCTTTTGTTCCCCCCAGAGCCTGTCTGTTCCCATGACTCCTTTCCCATGGGGTCACTCATTCTACCGGGCAYGACAACAGGGGTTTTCATCCTCCTRTTGATGACAGAAGGGCTTTATGCACTGGCCCAGATCCAGCAAGCTGGGAYGAAAAGGCTGGCAGGGAGATGGCGWGGAGCAGGATGCATCCATGGTGGGGGTTGTGTGCAATGAAAGCACCGGGTCCCTGTTGAGGCTGGGAGAGATGAGTGCTGGGACATGAGTGCTGCCCCTCTATCCAGCCAAAATGCCCTCCTTCCTCTCCCCAAGCCAGCATTTTGGGGACTCACTGTGACAGGAGGGAGGCCAGGCAGCCATACATGGATGGTGTGTACATGTTGCCGTTGCGGGAAGAGAGGAGCAGGGAGGGCTTGGTCTTCTGGTTGAAGATGTCCTGGCTGGCTGTCTGGAATGCCTTCTCCACCTCCTTGCTGGAGTAGGTGTCCTCCAGCTTCAGACCRCTGCCCAGAGAGAGAGCAGCTGGGACCCCCGAGCAGCACAGCCCTGGCTGGGCCCAGGGACAGGGGACAGGGTGCAGGGACCCACCGGAAGGACTGCAGCCCCTTGTAGAGGCCAGAGGCCGTGTCGGGGTTGGGGGAGGCCAGGAAGTCGTTCAGCAGCAGCCGCCCCACGGATTTCTGCACCAGCTTGCAGAAGGGYGAGTGGAAGATGATGTACTTGAACTCGTCGAGGGTGAAGGGCTTCTGGATGCCAGCTGGGAGGGGACATGGRGCCATCAGCATCCAGGGGGATGCCGTGGGCACCTCGGGGGTGCTGCCACTTACTCTGCTTCCACTGGGCCTCCGCCTTCCGCCGGTACACGGCGTAGCAGCGGTCCAGGGCCCGCAGGTAGCACTGGATGGAGAGCTGCCCGTCCACCACCGGGTACTCCGAGGACAGGTTGGGTTTGTAGAAGTCGTAGGCGTGCTCCATGTGGGTTCCACGCAGGCCTGGGGGCATGGGGAAAGCCCACAGTCAGGGAGGATCGGGAGGTCCCAGCCCCAAAGCAAACACCCAGGGTGCTGCCTGCCATGCCATGCCCAATATGCAACAGCCTCCCTGAGTCATTCCATGGTGCCCACAGGGATGTGGCCAGCTGGGATCCTGGAGTGTCCAGCAGGATCCCATGGCTGGGACACAGATGTGTGGCCCCCAGGGACAGCACCCATCAGCTCACCATCCCCAGGGTCTCACCACACTGACCTCTCTCCAGCACCAGCGGGGCGTTGGGTCCCACCAGCATGGCGATGGCACCGGCCCCTCCTGTGGGCCGCGCGTTCCCGGTGGCGTAGACGGCGATGTCCCCGCACACCACCACGGCGTAGCGACCTGAGGGAGGACAGAGGGACTGGCAGTGACACCCGTGGGTGGAAGCCTCCATCCCACAGCCCTCATGTATTCCCATCTCCACGCTGCCAGGTGTCACACCAAGGTGGACAAGAAACAGGGGTGATGGAGAGCCTGGCGGGGCACTGGCTCCCTTTAAAGTGGGAGCAACTTTGGGTTTCAGGCCACCTTCTGCCTCCTTCCCCTACCCCATGGCATCCACCCAGCATCCAGCCCCACRGCTGCACTCACCATCCCAGGCACTGGACTCCACCCAGGCGGCCGCATTGAAGAGCGAGGCCGTGCCGCCGTAGCAGGCGTTGGTGGTGTCGATGCCCTCCACGTCGGTGTTGCCCGAGTCATGGAAAAGCTGCATGAGGACKGTCTTGACGGCCTTGGACTTGTCGATGACGGTCTCAGTGCCCACCTCCAGGCGGCCGATGGAGTCCCAGGAGAGGCGCCCGCGCTCCACCAGCCGCTGCACCACCGTCAGGCACAGCGAGTTGATGTCCTCGTGGGCGGCGCAGAAGCCCATCTGCTTCTGGCCCAAGCCCCGCGTGTACTTGCCGGCCTCCACGCCGTCAAACCGCTCCAGCTCCTCCTGATCCACGTACTGGGCAGGGAAGTACACCTCCAGGGCCAGGATGCCCACATCCTTGGGCCAGGCACCTGTCCCAGCAGCACTGGAGAGGCTGTGGGGCAGAGGGAGTGGTGACAATCCCATGGCAGCCTTGGGGACACAGGGTGGCCCCGGGGAGATGCCACCAGCGAGGAGCCCGGACTGGGAGCACCCCAAATCCCCGTGCCTGGCAGCGCTGCGGGAAGGAGGGAGACGCTCCCCTTCCCCAGCAAGGCTTCTCCACCCCCACCATGGCCATGTGTCCAGCCCCCGATCCGTGTGGATGCTCACCATGCCCTCTGCCAAGCCGTGGGATGCTGGGTGCCCTGGGGTGCCCGCTCCGGCCCCGGCGATGCCCACCTCACCCCCCAGCAGCGTGCRGCGCGCCCGACCAAGCGCAACATCTCTGCTGCACGGACGAAGGGACGGCCGGCCGGACAGATGGCCTCGCCTAGTGCTTTTATAAACTGCGTGGGCAGCTCGGCACAGCCCTCCCGGCCTTTATCAGCCTGCCGGACCCTGGCGCTCAAAGGTCACCGAGCGCCAGCCAACACGGCAGGGGCAGCGGAGCTGCGGAGGGGGGAGCTTGCGAGAGGGCTCCGTCTTGTGTCCCGAAGCCTGGGCACACGCACAGGGAGCAGCGGGACGGAGCAAAGGGACGGGCTGTCCCGCGGTCCCGCTGTCCGTGCCCTGGGGCAGCGGCAGCTCCGGTGCCAGGCTCAGCTGCGGGCACTGCGCAGCGGGCACGGGGAGGGAGCAGAGGGCGGCCCGGCTTTGGGGCCGGCACCATCCGAGCTGCCCGGGACGCAGTCCACATCTGACATGTGCCGCAGCTCTGAGGGGGTGAAAACCCCATGAGCTGAGTGGGGGCAGAGCCATCTTCAAAGCAGCAGAGCAAACAGCCACGTGACGCCTGTGGCAACATAACAGTGACACAAAAGGGGACCTTTGGTCCCAGCGCTGCTGTCAACATGGCCATGGGGCAGTGCTGCAGCCCTCAGATCCCTGTGGAGCTGCATCTGGGGGACCACCYGTCCCCATGCCTGCACACCCACGACAGCTCCCACCCCCACCCACATCTCGGGTGGCGGCTCCACGGTGCCCCAGGTCTCCATGTCCRCATGCTGGGGACACTCCTGTCCCCTCCACCTGCTCCCCAGGGACACCTGTTGTATTTGGCACCCGAGCGCTGGTATGAGCAAACACGAGTGCTCAGCCGGGAAGAGCCACTGGCCCCACAGCTCCTGGGAACTCATCCCCAAACAGCTCTGCCCCGGGAAGCCGGGAAGTTCAAGGAGCTGTGGCAGAGCCTCTCTCWCTCCCGGGGCAGCCCAGGGCTTTGCATCAGCACCAAGCTCACGCAGCACTTGTGTGCTTCTTTTTTTATAGATATATTTATAGKAATTGTGGGGAAGGGAGCAGAGGTGGCACGGGAGGGACATCGCGGGCGCAGGGTCCCCCACAGGCCAGGGGCTGTGCTCAGTGCAAGGGGTAGAACTTGCAGACGTAGGGATGCTCCCGGGAGCACTCGGMGCTGGACCAGAGAGTGAAACCTGCGGGAGAGACGGGCAGGGGGTTGGCGGGGCCGCGGTGAGGACGGGCACCAGCTGTGCCCTCCAAGGGATGGGACCTGGAGCGGGAGGGAGGCGCGGCAATGCCGGCCAAGCCCAGGCGCCGCAGGTGGATGCAGGGACGGGGCACTCACTGCTCTGGTGGGTCAGCATGGCGCAGGCCCCGCCTCGGGCACTGTTCCCAGGGATCCCACTGGCGAGGCTGTATTTATTYCCATTTGTCCACTGCCAGGTCTGGCTCTGTGCGGGGACAGGGGGTTCAGAGGCACTGCCCTGCTGTMCCCAGCCCCCCATCACCCCTGCCGCCACTCCTCACCTCTCTGTCCCGTTGGAGGCCAATCCAGACGGATTCCACGCGTTGGTAGTAGGAGATGGCTCTCCTCAGGGTGCTAGCTTCGCGGGGCTCCTCCACCCAGGCCAGGTGGGCTCCTTTCTGGGTGTTCTGGCACTGCCTCTGCGGGGAGAGCTGTCAGTGCCAGGGCGCCTCCGCCATTCGGGGAGCTCCCTGGGGAGGTACCGCGCCGGGCTTACCTCAGCCTCGTCCCAGGTGAGGGGCTCACGGAAGTATTTGAAGCAGCCGAGCTTGTAGTAGGACCAGCCGTCGGGGCAGTAGTTTATGTACCTGGCATCTGTCGGGGGAGAGCGGAGGGCAGCGATGAATGAGGGACGGCCTGGAGAGGAGCGCGGCTCCCTCCCGACCCCGAGCCGCGGCACTCACCGACCGGCCGCAGGAGCCCCACGCAGCCCAGCAGCAGGAGGGCGAGTCTGGCCGCTGCCATCATCCTCCTTGCTCCCTGAAAAGGCTCGGCAGGGTCACACAAGGTCCCTGGGGGACAGGGGATGCCACCCTGCTCTGCTGTGGGCTGACCCTGGCCTCTCTGAGCCTCCTGGAGGAGATGACAGGCTGTGCCTCCCTCCCTACTCCCCGGCTCAGGTCACTGCCCCACGCCTGAACCCCGCGGCATGGCTCGGGGTGCCCATCCCCACTGGTAACAGGTTACCCTGGCCCCACCAGGAGGAATCTGGGAGAGCCAAGCTGTGTGGGCACAAGGGGAGAGCGCTGTCAGGGACACGGGTGGGGTCCCCCAGCCCTGCCCCGGTGCAGCAGCAGCAGCAGCACAGGCAGAGCCGGGGAGCCGCAGGCACAATGTGAACGGCGGCGTTTTCGTGCCCTGAGCTCGTAGCGCTGCCCAGGCTGGGGAGGCAAATCGGCCACATCAGCGCAGCTCCCTTTATCTGGGCTAATCCCCGGGCGCTGGGTCGATCTGCAGACTCAGCTCGTCTTCCCCTCAAAGAAGCAGCGAGAAAAATCAACGCAGGGCTGAAAAATGCATTATCACAGGCTGCTCCATCCGGCGAGGGCAGAGCTCAGCTCCCCCGGGAGCTGGCACAGACAGGGACCGCGAGGCAGCTCTGAGCATCCCGAGGCCCCAGCTSCCTTGGGAGGCTCCTCTTCCTCACCTGCTGTCCCGAGATGGTGCGGAGTAGCGGCTTGTCGAGGGTCACAGGGAGAGGAGAGAGGAGCTGCCCTTTATAGTCTGGTGCTCACCAGCATCTGTGTTTGYCCAACTCAGGTGATTCTCACCATAAAAATCTTACTGCTGACACCCCTCTGTCCCCCCCGCGTCGCTGGAAAATTGCCCTAATCTCCACTCTGTTTGCATTTAACATATCTCCAGAAGCAGACAGGAAGAACCTGTCCTAGTTGGTCAATAAACCCCCGGCAATTATCATTAATTGCTCCCGCGATACCGATACAATCTTCCAACCTTCAGCAGCCTGGCACATGGCAGAGATGCCCTCTGGGCCAGCCCTGAAATTGCCCGGGGCCCGGCTGGGATGAACCCCGGGGTTGATCCCCTGATCCCGGCCAGAGCATCCCCACTGCCAGCAGCCAGGCCGTGGGTCCGACCCCCTGGCACTGCCCGTGTCCCCACCGAGGGATGGCACCCGGCCGGGCCCCGTGCCCTGCCCCGCTGTGCCATGCGTCACCCACACACCGCCCTTGTTTGAACTGCCGGGGGATGTTTGCGAGCAGCATGCGGGACGCCGGGATGTGGGAACAGCCTGCAGCCGGGGGCTGGCGGTGCCATCAGATAGCGGGGACGCTGCCCAGCCCGGCGGTGACGCAGGGCTCTGTCACTCTGTGTCCCCTCGGGGCAGCCCCCACTGTCCCTGCCCCAGGCGGGTCCCTGCAGCCCCGGCCCGGGGAGGCTTCTGTGGTCATGCAGCCACAGAGATGAGCCCCTGGCCCCGCACTGCAGCCACAAAGAGGAGCCCCTGGCCCCCGCACTGCAGCCCTTGGCAGGGTCTGGCACAGCCTTCTCGGCCATGGTCCTTGCTCCTCGCCTCGGGGTGTCCTCTGCAMCTGCGGGAGGCAGCTGGAGTTCTCCACGTCCCTGCTGCCACCACGGAGCAGGTGGCTGTGCTGGCTCCAGAGCGGAGCTTTGAAAGCTCATCCTGGTGGACCAGAGCGGCTTTGAAAGCTCATCCTGCCGCCTGTCCTGAGGCTCCTGCGGAGCTGCCAGCTCCTGCCCAGCACTCTGCTGCTGCCAGCTCCAGCCAATGCCTGGTTCTCCTTCCACAAACCCTTGGTGGAGGCCAGGGTGAGGAGAGGAGCTGCCCTTTATGCTCACCAGCATCAGGGTGACCCAGGAGGCAGCTGCCTGCAGASGATGCAGAGCCAGGGCTGAGCCCCACTTCTCCCCACATGCAGGGCTTGCTGTCAGGCTCGGGCCATGGAACCCCATGATCTGCTGTGGGATCTCCTCCTTTTGCCAAAACACGCAGCAGTGAACGCTGCTACACCCACACCGGCGTGCAGAGGCAGGTCTGGCTCCTGCCCCGGGGAGGGAGGAGGATCAGACCCATCTCCYTCACCCACACAGCCGGCACAGAGCTGCTGTTCTCGCTATGCACCCTCCGGGATCCAAGGGGCAAAACCTTCTCGTGTCCAAACACAGCTGCCACCTGCTATCAGCTCTGAGAGAAACAACCTGCCACCCATCAGCTGCCCCGATCAATGGGGGAACCYTGCAAACACAGCAACTCCCCAGAAAACAGGGCTCCACCCTTGCTGTATGAAAAACAGTGAAAAACCTCCCCAAAAGAGCCTGAGGCTCCTCCGCTACTCAGTTAGATAAGGGATGCCGTGCCTCCATGCCTGGATGGTTCAGTTAGGCACATTTGGAAGCATCAACAAGTTTCCACAAGCTCCTGGCCATCCCAGGCTGGGGAAGAGGCAGGAGCCATCCCGAGGAGACACAGTTCAAGTCTCAGCCTGAGCACCAGTACCCTCAGTGCCAGGGGCTCGGCAGAGCTCGCTAAACTTTGGCACAGATGTGTGAGCTGCGGGAGAACACGGACGAATGCCTGCCGGAGGTTTGGACTCACCCAGCTGGCTCTACCGAGAGATAAAGGAGCTGCACTGTTTGAACATTAAACCCTKCAAATGCCCCCAGCAGCGTTACCCCAGATCAGCATCGGAATTCGTCTACCAGCTCCATCAGAGCCCGCAGCGAGAGCTGGAAAACAGCCAGGGGAGCACCAGTGGCACCTCTGTCCTCCAAATTAGCACAGCAGCTTCTGACAGTTTGATCTCTGATTGCTCAAGTCAAGCTTTTCAAGTCTGAGACCTGCACAGAGGAGTTCTGATTCCCTGTTTCAGAGGCTGGAGGATGACACATCTTCATGCTCWAAGTATGGAGTAAAGGAGGCTCAGGGGGGACCTCATCACTCTCTACAACAACCTGAAAGGAGGCTGTGGACAGGTGGGGGTTGGTCTCTTCTCCCAGGTAAGAAACAACAGGGTGAGAGGAAATGGCTTCAAGTTGCACCAGGGCAGGTGGTTTGGATTGGGTAAGAGGTAAAATTGTGTCAATGTCAGGGCAGTCAGGCCTTGGATCAAGCTGCCCAGAAAGTGGTGGAATCACCATCTCTGGAATGTTCAAAAAACATCTGCATGTGGCATTTGGGGACATAATTTAGGGGTGAACATAGCAGTGCTGGGTTAAAGGTTGCACTCCATGGTCTCGGGGTGTTATTCCAACCAAGGGAGGCAGACYCAGCCCCAGGGATGAGGGTCCCCTTCCCTACTGGAAGGACAGGAAACAGCTGAGGGAAGCAAGCAGGACCTGAGAGAGCCAGTGAATCCACAGCTCTGCTGACCACTGCCCCAACCCACACTTGCTAAAAGCCACAAAATTGCCCCAGCCCTTCTCAGGAYCCCACAGGCACGAGAGAGCTCTTAYCCAAAGTGCCTATGAAAGGGCTCATCCCAGCCCCTCCCCATCCTTCCCAGCTGCCTGGGGTTACTGCCCCTTCTCAGCCAACCAAGAGACCCAAAATCCTTCTGCTACACCCACACCAGGCTGCTTCCAGCTCCCTTGGGTGGAGCTAAGTCGTGGGGTTCACATGCTGCTGAGACAGAGCACCCCCAATTCTTTTATAATCCAGTGRACCAAGGAAAACAAATKAAAACAAATGAAAACAGCAGCAYAYRGRCACTGGGCACATACTTTTTATTCTGGGGATAAAAATTGCTTATACATTTGGCAGCAACTATTTTCATAAAAGACTTTTATAAAAAATGTAAAAATAAGCAAATATTTTCCATCATTAATATAGGAAAATGCTGCTGTGTGAATGGTTACTCTACAACTTACGAGATAAAATACCACCTTAAGGAGATATTATCTTTACAAGTAGTTAAAAAAACAAAAAAAAAAAAAAAAAAAAAAAAAAGAAAGGCAGAGGGCCATCATATTAACAGGCCAGGCACGGAACCGGCTTCATTCCACAGAAAGCACTCATCTTGTAAAAGGTAGCCACATATATAAAAAGGCACTTGGTTATTTGGGGCTAACGAGCAACAGCCCTTTGTTTCTTTAGCATCGATGTAGCAACACTTCATTATTTGCAGTGAGACGTGTACCTGGACAGACCCCAGGGAGGCTGCTGGCCCCTGCCTGGAGGTCTGAGTCGGCTGCAGCTAAACTTCAGAGGCCACGCTGCAGCGAGCGTGCCGGGGAACGCTGTGTGCACCGTGAAAAGCAGTAACTTCACACACAAAATTAAAAACTTCAGCCCAAAACGACGGCCCCGGGAACCAGCTCCTCCTGAGGCCCTGCCTTCATGTACCATTGAGTGGAATTAGGAACAACAAAAAAAAAAAGGCAACTTTGACTCTTGATTAGAATGGAAAGAAACACCAGAGACAATACTGTACATGGTAGGGTGTTGATGGCTCGCTCGTAGTCGAGCAGCCTTCAGTCCTTTGGCAGCAGCCGGCAGCCCCGAGCTCTTTGGAAGACGTGTCTGCAGCGTTCCCCTGAAGAGGCAGGAGCAAACCATCCCCACAAATGTTCACTGGGGCTGCTGGCCGGTCTGGAGCCCTTCAGAGAAGCACTGCTCATGTGAGCAAAGCAGAAAAAGCGGCTGTTTGTCTAAGGTCGATGACAGCTGGCTTCCACGGCTCCAAAACCATCGGGGGGGGCGCAGCACCAACAGCTCCACCGTGCCCCGAGCATGTGGGGCACCTCGGCTGGGAAACCTGGACACAGGCTGGAGCTGAGAGCAGAGGACAGCCCCAAACCTGTGACCCACTGCAGGAGGCAGTGGCTGCTGAGCTGTTTGGTCTGCTGCCACAGCTCGGCTCCTGGCTCCTGGCACGYCGCTCCTGCTGCTGGAAAACTGTCATCGCTGTGGCCTCCCTGCGCTGGGAGGGGAAGACAAGGCAGCTCTGAGCCGGGGCTGGAGCAAAAGGGACACTTTTCAAAGGGCTGGATGTCGTTCCTGACGCAGAAGGACACACATCGCAAACATGTAACCACATGTTTGACACTTCTTGATAATCCCATAAAGAGGCAGCATATGGTATCTGGAGGACAGGACACACAGCCACCCTGGATGGAGGGGAGGGGACTACYGTGCAAGAACGCTGGGAGCTTGTGTTACCAGTTTCTGAAACACTCCTGCTCATCCCAAAAGCTTCCCAAAATGCCTGTACCATTGCAGTGCATCTCTTCTGGCATGGGGGGTGACAAAGGCAGTCGTGGATGCTCCTGGCAGGATGGGGGGCACGGGGAAGGTAGTGTGTCAAAATGGTCAGGGGTGTCTCGGGAAAGAGACACACAAAATGGAGAGATGCGCCCAYAGGCCACCGTGGTGGGAAGACCAGGTCAGACCAGCGTTTTCGGGAGGGAAAATAACAAAACAAACAACCTAAAAAGGCTATATGTATATATAATCTCATAATACCCGGGGAGCAGGCAGTGAGAGCCCTAAGGGGTGTTAGTGAGTCTGTATAAGACAAAGGCTCTTGAAGAGGAGAGGGTGAAGCTGTGTGACAGGAGCTGTCACTTGACCTGCAGGTGTTTTGGGAGGTCCRGCTTGCTTGCTGAGCAAGAGTGGACAAGGAAAAGAGGGGATCTGGGAATGTGGGTGCAGCTCTGAGCTGTGTCAAGACAAGGCAACTTGAACTCGAGGAGAACTAGTAGAAGGTGCTTCAGAGAGAGGTTACGTGGGTAACAGAAGGAGTAACAAAATAAGGATACAAAGCTGGTTTTGGCTAAATCTCTGGAGAAACGACCACAAGATGTACTAAGCTGAAGAGCTGTCTCCCCAAGGCAACGGTGGAAGGTATCTAAAAGCAGACTGGAGGATCCAGTGCAGACAGCAGTCACATCCAA